TGTCAGTTTGTCTCTCTCTCTCTTTCACTGGCGCAGCGGCAAGGTGCTGGTCTAGCAATCTTGCGGACCTGCGTTCAATCCCACGCCCGGCCAGTGAGTGGTATCCCGGTCCATTCCTTGCACACAGGGGGAGATTTGGGCAAAATAAAACAGACAGTATGTCACAGCAAAGAATATCCATTGTAACAAATGGAATTAAAACTAAATCTTTTAAACTAAAACTAAATTTCTCAGTTTCTCTTTACGTTTTTGCCTTTGCCTCTCTGATTGTCTCTCTGTTTTTTTCTCTCTGTATCTCTCGCTCTCTCTCTCTCTCGCAAAACCAGAAAACATTACAATTGTCCCGTAATATGAAAATGATATTAATGTATACAAATAAAGGGGCTGATATCGTCGCTTTGTATGAAGTAAACATAGCAGACTACCATGGATCTGAAAATGCAATATTTCCTAACGACTTAATAAGAGAGTGAACGTCAGTCGTCTATAAACCTCCAAAAGCATTTAGCCAACGTCAGATTACACCCCCCCTCTTTGGAGTCACTTCCAGAAGCCGGATTCACTAACATACGATCGTAACGCATTTACCAGCGGTCATTTACCATTGCATTTACCAGTGATGGCAAAGTGGTATTCACGAAGAAATGGTAATTTGGATATGCTGTTACAATCGTAAATCGACTCATTCTAATGGTAGCCAACAGAGGGCTCTAGTAGAGCAATTCCACCAATCAGCGAGCGATATACATAATCTTTTAGGTTCCTTCGGCCAATTACGTAACATGTAAACAAAACTACATACAGCGAGATTTTAAAAAATCTTCACAGCTAAAACACTATTTAAGCACATGTAGAAAAAAATGAATATATTTATTTGATCATATCCATCATGTAGGATATATATATTTACTGTATAGATAGGAACCAATACAAACACTTTTATTGATATATTATTAATAAATATTATTATATCATTATCAGTGTTAATCCAAAGTTTATTTATTTATCTATTTTTCATCATTGTTAAACAAAAAACCGGACCATTTTTTTTAGTAATCGCTAACTGTCGTCAAAGGAAATATTTTCAAGCTTATTCTTGCCCATGCACTTTGGAGTTTACTGTCGAAATGCCGACAGACACAGAAATTGCTATACTCGTTTAGCATTGGTTTTGTCAGTTTATATATCAGCAAGGTAGTTTTTCTATATAATTTGTAATAATTATGTCAGAGAAGAATTCTACAAGAGTTCACTTATCTATCGATTCCATGCATTCTAGTATAATATAGGCCTATAATTTTACGAGAATTTGTGTGGATTTTATTCTTGCTAGTTTCATGTGAAATTTACATTTCTTTACTATGTCCGTATTGGGATGTGTGTTTGCCATCATATTAGTTACATCAAGTGTAAAAACAAACCTAAAACTTTGATTAAATATTGATTTTTTTACGACATAACACGTGATGACATCATCTTCCCAGAAGTGACTAGTGCTCTGACCACTGGTAAAATTTACCATGGTAAAGCGATGGCAAGTTGTTAGTGAATACCATCGTTGTCTGGTTACCATGGTAACTATAGTTACCAGTGATTTTACCATCGTAAGTGCGTTCGTGAATCCCGGCCAATGACTCTGGAAAGGAAGATTTTTTTTTTTGTTTGATATATGTAAAAAACATATTCACCCAACTTCATTTCTTTAATGTCTGTAGGCCTACGAAGCGCCACCTGCCTGCTGATTATCCGCGCTGCCGGCAGGATCCTGTGGTAAAGGACTATTTGACCTGGCACTTCGAATCGTGCCTAAAAGTAGAATTTCAGATTAGTTGATAGGGAATGAAATCCTTAAATAGATTCAGTGTGCAGACAGAATGTAGTTCATGGTAGACACAAGGGCGAAAACAATTTTAAGAGAATATAATCAGACATTATAGCACAGTAACTACTCTCTCTCTCTTACGAAATTATCCATTTCTGATTGTTTGTGCTTCAGTCTATTTTAAACCTTTATTTTGCCGTGACCATTAGCCAAAAAGTCTCGCTTATGGTGACGCATTTCCCACTAACTGCTGAAAAAGACCGGCTTTCTCTTCGCTCATGTCGGATCGATCTGCCTCACTGACAGTTCTTGCCATTCCTTCCAACTCATGGGGCTGGCTATGCTGTATAGTCGTCTTGTACTGTAGCTTGGGAAAATGACATGATCTCATTGTCAGCATTTCTGTTTTCTCAGCAATACTCTTTACAGTATATGAAACTAATTTAGAACTCTATGACAGTCACATAGAAATCATCTGATTGAAGTTAATGATTTTAGAAATATCAGACGTTGCAGCAATGAAGGCCACACGATGAGAAAACTAATAAAAAATCACGGTGAAAAGCATCTTGTCGCAACCCCGCCTCCAACCTGCACTTGCCGCCGTCATGACCAAGTCCTGCATGACATGCGCTCGTCTGACATGACTTTGGAGGTTCTGGTCCTGACGAGGCATTA